GGTTCAGCAACAGCAGCAGTCGGTGCAGCAGTCGGTGCAGCAGCAGCAACAACAACAGCAGCAGCAGCAGCAGCAACAGCAACAACAACAACAACAACAAGTGGCGCCCCCGAATGCGGCGCCACCGAACGTCACTGGACCAGCTGCCTTCCAGGGCATTCAGAGAAGTCAATTCATAAGGCAACAGCTCAGGGCGACTCATGGGCAGCAGCACGTAGCACCACCTGGAATGCAGCCCCAGCAGGGCTTGTTTGCGCCCCAGCAGCAACAGCAGCAGCAGCCGCAGGGAATGTATGCCGGCATGCAGCAAGGCGAGTTATTTATTTCTTTTCATTCTTACTAATTTAATTAATTGGAGGGAACGAATTCCAACAAAAAACCTCGTCAAAATGTAAAAGTCACGCTACACGTATACGCCCGGATAGAAATTGTCCGCCAACTTACCAACTTCCCATATTTTAAATGTAATCCTTATTGAACGGACCTTGACTTGATCGATCAGCTTTCTTTTGTCAATTGCTTTCTAAAAACTTGATCGATCACAGCTTTCTTTTGTCAATTTGTCAATGCTTTCTAAAAACTTGAACAATAACATCTTAATATTATTATATTGAAGCGCGTGGTCGCGATCCTGGTATCGTACATCAAACCTAGAGTCCAAACTTCTCAGCGGTAACCGAATTCTCGCGCACTTGAACTGTTTTGGACCGATAGGTACAAGTAAGAGTATAATTTACTATCGCCAACGATACTACCGCACGATGCAATTTTGTCCGAGCCTTGACGCTTAATTTTTTGTTTTTTATTTTAACTGACTTACAAAGCTTAATGTACGGCTTGACGGGTACGCAGGTATGAATCAAAATTACGCCGGCTACGGTGGACAGCAAATGATACCTCAGCAGCCGCAGCAGCAGCAGCCTCCGGGTCTGATGGCCCAGCAGCAAAATATGTTCCAAAATCAGCAACAAATGATGGGAGCCCAAAACCAGCAGCAGATGATCAATGCCCAAAATCAGCAGCAGATGATGGGCGCGCAACGAAGTCAGGAGTACATGCAACAGCAGAGAATGCAACCCGGCACCGCAAGACCGCCTTATTTGCAGGTGAGCCGTGCCATGCCACTCAGAATCAGCCCGAAATTCAGGCGAATCAATAGCTTCCTTCGTTTTATCCTTAATCAGAGTCACTTAATATGTAAAGCTGACGTTTGCTTATCTTGTTGCTCGTTTGTTGTGAGATTTTATTGTGAAACATGAATTTTCATGGTCGCTGCAATTGATTCGATTAATGAGATTAATGATAAGGCAGCGGCAGCATTGCTCGTTAGTTGGGAATGTAAACAAATGTGAAATTTAGTGAAATCGATGAGATTGAAATATACGTATTTCTTTCATAGCTTATTATGTAATTGCGTGTGCGAGATTTATGGCTGAACAATTTTATTGTAATTTATTGTAATTTTCTTATAGCAGGCGCCAAACGTAACTATGAATACAATGGGTCCAATGGGTGCTGGAGTACAAAATCAACCGGCACCTCCGTACCGGCAAGCCGGTGGCAAACCCGGTACGGTCAATGTCGGTGGTGTTGGACAAGCTAATGTTGGTCTCCAGCCAAATCAACACATGCAATCCGTAAGTAAAAATCTTATCTCGCTTCACCAGCTCGTATGACGACGACCCACAAAACCTATTGTCGTCCGCGACACTTTTTGTATTTAAGCAATTTGCCAATAGCCGGTTATTAGAAAATTACATTTAATCTTGATTGAGTTAAAGCGTCTTTACTTGGCTGCATACACCCGAGCTCCTTAATATATGGCCGACTTAATTTTCTAGCAAATGTCATTGACTCAACAACGCATGAGGCAGATAATGGCCATGCAACAGCAACAGCAACAAGCTCAACAGCAACAGCAAGTTCAGCAACAGGCGGGTAATGCCGGCCAACAGGCGACGCCTCAGCTGGTTGCTCATCTTCAGCGCAATCTTAATCAGGCCCCGCAGCATCCTTATCAGCATCAACCGCCGCCTTACTAAGTGTACTTCGTCAGCACGAACAAAAATGTGTGGCTGTGTGCGTTCGGCACCTTCGGACGGGCGCATTATTATTATTATTATTACTATTATTATTACTATTATTATTATTACTATTATTATTATTAGTATAATTATAATTACGAAAAGGATGAGTGTTTAGAAAGAAGTAATTGAAAATATAGTGAATGTAAATGTTGAAATATTTTATAGAGAGATTTTCAAATATTTGCGTAGATGTGTATAATTAGCACGCGAAATAGTGTTTCGTAAGAAGAGAAAAAAATTATGCAAATATATTGCCGATCTATTCGAGATGTAATATTTAAATGAAAGAGAGAGAGAGAGAGAGAGAGAGAGTGAGTTCGAATGAGCGAGCAAGTGAGAAAACTAATTATTTTTTAATTTACACGAACGAGTTTGAGTACTTGATATGGAACAGGGCTTCGACTGAAAATGTTTTATTCTCAATCACTTTTTATGCTGTACATTAGTTTTTAAACGACGTTTCTTTTTTTTCTCACATTTTGCGATTTAAGGTGATTTAATAGTAGTTGATCGTTGTGTATCCGCAAGTGATAAACGTATGAATTGTAATTTTATGGAATGATTGTCAATGGGCTTAGATTATATAATAAATATTTACGACGAAATTTATGCTTTTTTAGATTTAATTAACAAATTCAATTTGAAAAGTTTAAACAGGTTAAACCACTGATTTTCTAAGCTCATATTGTATCGTGCCAAAATTTTTAAGTGCACAAATCTGATTTAACTTGTACGAAGATCGACGAGGTAATCAATATGATTGAGAGTGAAATACCGAAGAGTGTTGTTTCTAAAATAATGCCACGCGATCATCGTATTTCAAATGCCTGCATAATACCGCAGCAAAGATTCATAAACTGTACATATTCACTTCCTCCTTCTAGCAATCTATAGCTGCATATCTAAATTAAATTAAAACAAATTGACGATTTTATAATAATTAGATATTATAAAAATTTTACATTGAATATAATAATTTTTCTTACCGCAAGTTTTTCTGCGATTAAAGCTTTTTGCTTATCTGTAAGTATATTTGAATAAATAATAATGTCGTTTAATTGATCTACGACCTGGAAAATCAATAATGAACAGTTATTTTTTATCAATTGAAATTATTAATTTCTTTTCATACCTGACTTGCCGAATAAGCCTCTAACATGAATTTATCAACATAAGCTTCGACTTCGTTATAGTTTTTTGTTTCGCAGACTTTTAATAAATCATCGAGCCACTTGACTGGAACAATCTATGCAATAAATTAGTTTATTAGAATGAAATATAAATATTCTTATATTAAATATACATTTGAGTTCAATTAATTCAATTACTAATTATTATTGGCAAACTATATATATATATATATATATATATATATATATTCAAGTGCTTAAATTACTGATTATATTAGATTTTACTAACACCGGATATTTCTAGCACATCATCTATAGTAATTTCAATCCCCTTTCCTTTAAGCCTTGTAACAGATTGTAAGCAAGTTATCGCTCTCCGTAAATCTCCCCCGGATGCATCGACAACAGTTTTAAGTACGCTTTTTTCTGCTTTCAGATCTTCTTCGTTACAAATATATTCCAATCTCTGAATAATCTTTTCTTCTCCAAGAGGCTTAAATCTAAATTTTGTGCAACGAGATGTTAGGGGTTGAATAATTCGGGAAATATAATTACAAATAAGACAAAATCGAGTTGTATGCGATTCTTTTTCCATTGTTCGCCTTAAAGCTGATTGTGCTGCCCCTGTCATATTGTCTGCTTCATCCAGAATTACAATTTTGAACGGTGGACAAGATTTACCGCTAAAAATGACATAAAAAATTATTTTATAAATTGCTTTTTTAAAGGGAATATGATTATTTCTGGTGTTTTGCAATTTCAGTTGGGATTGTTTGTTATCATATAATTTACATGAATATAAAATTTTTTAAAATAGCCTTGCAATTACAATAAAAATTATTTCACAAGTTTAGCATTATATAAATGAACAAATGGAAGAATAGAAGATACAATTAAGTAGAATAAATATTGATTCGTTAAATAATTAAAAAACACTACATTATTGAAATAAACATTGACCGATTTCTTGTAAAATAATTTTTTTTATTTGTCTGCTTTTTTTTTTATCATCTAAAGTTATTGACTTTTTAACTTTGATATATCTGTATTAAATAAAAAGCAAGAGAATGTCTAGCGAATAATAAATGTTTTACTAAGTTTATATAAAACACCTGATACTTGCAACTAGTTGCATACTATTGTTTTAAATTTTTTATTTCAATGTAAATTTCAGACCTTTTACTTTAACATCATTGATATCGAAGCTTAGAAGTAAAAATACTTAATATTATTAAAAAAGAATGTTAAATCGTACTCGGATCTGATGTGGCTCGCCGTAAGTTGAGAGAACGATTTCACTTTATCTCTTATTACTTGAATTCCTCTTTCATCCGATGCATTCAGCTCCAATATCCTTTCCTTATACATAGTTCCAAAAAGCTGTCTAGCTGCAGCTAAAATTGTACTTGTTTTACCAGTACCCGGCGGTCCATACAGTAAAAGATTTGGAAAATCCTGACCGGACAAGCACTGTCGCAATACTTCCACAACTTCATCTTGTTCAACGACTTCATCCACAGTTTTAGGTCTGCTGTTTGTTAAATCAACAAAAATATTGATAAAGTGAATTGACATGGTTGGCATTATTGAGAATTGATTATTTTTATTAGCCATCGTTTAATACAAATACATTAATCAAGTAAAGGTTATTGCAATTCCGATTTAAAATACTTGCATTTAATAGAGATTTATGAATAATTGGCACGTACGAATTGTAACAAACCGTCACGGAAATACATTATTCCGCAATTATTTATTATTTAAAATTCTAAAAAGTAAAACATTTACAAATAAGGTTATTTGGCTTACTATTTTTCGACCCAAGGTGTAGCTTTTTGACGAGGAGTGCCCTTCGCCTTCGACGTAGTTGGTACTTTAACCGTTTCTTTTTGGCCTATTTTGCCAGTTTTCAAAAACGAATTCATATTAATAACGAACGTATTAAGTGGCAATAACACAGAGTGACATAAGGGAAGCGATTGTAAAGAGCCGCCAACCACGTTCCCGCCAACTTTTATCAAAGCGTTGGCTCAGGTCAGCTTCCCTTGGACACGACACGCACATACATTGCCAATTCATACGCACGGCCCACTGCCAATTATATCACGCACCGCTTCACTATCGGATTACCAATATCTTTCATTATCACACAATAATTACATGGACCAAATGGAATAATTCGGGGGTGCGTGCACGCGGCTCGTGAAGCGCGATTATTTGCCTTGGTCATTCCATCCTCAGGACAATGAGTTTACGCAAATTGAAATTGTACTTGAATTGCGCTTGCGCGAACTAAGCCGCACTACATTACCGGTTCACCGACGCCAATGTAGACTTAAAAGTCTAGAGATATGTCAAACAGAAACATTGCACGGTTTGTCTACGAAGAGTGCAAGGTTGAAATTGATTTTCGATTGTAGGCTCTTGCGTTCCGGCTTTTCGTCGGCACTATTGCAGAACATTTTGATAAATAAATTAATTCTGTCTGAATTTTTCATCAATTTCTTTTCCTTTCGATCATGGCAAGTAATACTGTTTTCTTAAGAACTTACTGGCTCGTAATGCATCATTGATACTTATAACCTATAAAACAACAAATGTACATATTTATTTTCTTCTTTATTACGTTAGTATTAATTAATTATGTTTTGTTTTAGTTATTCTATTCGTTTTTCAAATCATTGGTGGGTAAGGATGTCGTAGTGGAGCTGAAAAATGATCTCAGGTAATAAATAATTATTATTTTTAAACTGCTGTTTAAGCCTATTTAAATTTCAATTTATTATAAAAATTAGATTAATATAAAAATTATAACAATTTTAGTTTAGTCATAATTATTATGATTGTTTATACCATTTGTCATTGTTATTTATAATTTTCGTTTTGATTTCGCAGTATTTGTGGAACATTACACTCGGTTGATCAATATTTAAATATCAAACTCACAGATATAAGTGTCACAGATCCAGACAAATATCCTCATATGGTATATATCTATTTACTTAACACATATTTTTCATATTTGAAATAAGAATATTAATAATGGGCTATTTCAGTTGTCAGTTAAAAATTGTTTTATAAGAGGATCGGTTGTCAGATATGTTCAGTTACCTGGGGATGAAGTTGATACACAGCTTTTACAAGATGCGGCAAGAAAAGAAGCAGCGGCACAAACTCGATAGTATACTGCTATAATTTTTTGTTTATTACTTAAGTTAAATAATTTTGATATAATACATTAAATTAAAGAACTATTTTTTGTAACTTCTTTCGTCATTCTGAAATTCCAACTTCGTATTATATACTACAGCGAGCATCAATAAAGTAACTTATTTTATACATACTTCTTGCTTTATTTAGTGATAGTATTCAAGAAAGCCAAAATTACCAAACAATGAATGCAATTGAATACAAAATGAACACAAATTTTCAATCTTAATAAAGGTAAATTCATTTTTGAATTATAAATAATGTAAAAAGGTAATTTCAAACTAATAAAAACGAAGTAATTTATTATAATATTAATATCATATATTATATTTATTTATTAATAAGCAATAAAATGTTTATCTGAGGATTTACGTGGGTATTTTTCAATTTACTGAAATTAATGGTCACCAAATAATATATATCAATATTATAATTACAATTTAAAAATGTTAAATAATGAAATAAATTACAAAATAAGTTACATTTAACATTAAGTTTAGTAATGAATGCAGAAACATCATATCTTCAAACATGAGAGAGTAGATTTAAATTTTGCATATAAATTTCTACAATAATTGCCTAAAAAATGTTATCTTTTAGTACAAATTTATTAAAACAATAATTTTTAAAGAATAATTAACATTTAAAACATGCATGCCTATTATATTATTATATTAATTATTATATTAATATTTATATTAAATTTACATTAATTTATAATTATTTTGTAGTATTAATTGAATTGAGAAAAATAAAAAATTACATGTTTCTGAATCATATTGAAAACTAATTAGATATTATAGTAATGATTACCTATACTTTATTCATATTCGTGATATTTATTTAAATATTATTTGTTTATGAAATTATTAATTTTATTATTTTCACATCTATTTATTTTACATTCGGTTAATTATTTACATTAATATAGTGGCATTATAAATATTTTCATAAATATTTTATTCTTTTTAACATAATAGATAATTCAGTTGATAAATAAATAAATTGTATATTAATTTTCCTAAAGACTAATTTTCCTAAATTATTTATGTCTACAATTATTTATTATAATTAATACTAGAATGTCATCTGTGGCTTTATCAATATAGATATAAAAGAATTTACAGATAATCATAAATTTGTAAATAAGTGTAGACAGTCTTCCTACAATTTCTAGTTTTTGGCCAAAACTTTCGCTTTTCATTTTCGAAATTAAGGCTACCGAACAATTAAGAAAAATGAGGCATATTGATATTATATGCCATAACGATATAATAATAGAATTTTTAAAAATAAAATAATAATTTAATTGAAATTACACATGAATTTGATAAATTATGTATACGGAAAAGCCATGTAGAATTAAATGCAATAATATATAAATGATTCGTATAGAGGAGAATATTTAATGAAATTTTCAGTATTTTACTTAATATGTATATATACACACACATATATTAATAATTAGTTTAATTTACACTATGTATAATTACTTGTTAAGTAGTAATTAAATTGTGGAAATTTGGAAATGAAAAAATTTTATGTTTATAAGTTAATATTAAACACAATATATATATATATATATATATATATATATTTGCATACACATACATATCCATACATACGTGTTATGTAAATTGTATGTATTAGAATTTATACAGTTCATCTTCTTTAAAATTAATTTGTTAATATTATTTAAAGAATCGATATAGTTTTTAATAATGAGTAATATATTCTCTTTATATTTTGCCATGATTCAGTTGTTGCCATCAGTATTAAACTTTTAATTAAGTACTATATATATATATATATATATATATATATATATATATATATATTTATATATAGGCATCAGTCTGATTTAATTATAGTTTGATTATTCAACACAGCATGTAACGAACAATGTTTTAAAATAAATTAGCAGTAAAAGGCAACAAATCTTCATTTGACGTTTGCAATCAGCCGTACATTCGCTTACGTACATAATTTTAAGTAAGACGCTTAAACGAAGCTAATCTATTAGCTCCGGAAGGGCGACACTGTAAAGACTCCCACTTTTCTTTCTCGCCTCCTATTTTAATGTCATCCGTCAGTAATACATGTATACAATAATGTCGAAGAGCATAGTTACTCACTTACCTATAAATCCACTCTTGTACGTATTGCTGGGTACTGCTGAAGATACATGTGCACATAAATGTGAATGGGCACGTGCGTATATATATATATGTATGCAAGAAAACGGTCAGATGAAGAAAGTTGCGCTGGTGTGATAGTCGACTGTTTTCGGATAATGACAGTAAGAAAGGGAGAGGGTTGTACCGTATTTGCAACTCCGAGTCTTACTAAAGTTTTATTCCAGGATGATGGGAGGATTTTACGGTTTTGTTTTAAAGTAGAGATATTAAATAGCGTTAAGGGTGGAATAATCGGGAGGGGTGGCAGGAGGATATGATAGATGCATAATTTTTGCAAAGGAAATAAGCGAATGCGCTGGCTGCTGTCAGGAAACTCGGTACTAACAAAATAAAGGAAACGGAATAAGAGAGCGGGGTCTAACGAATGCAAAAGAAATGAACAGAGAGAGAGAGAGAGAGAGAGAGAGAGAGAGAGGGGAAGGAGGGAGAGGGTAAGTACAGCTTAATGAGGATTTGGGAGGCAGGATTGAACGTTGAAAAAATGAGGTATACCGAAAGGATGGCGGAGTGTATAAAGGAGGTGAGAGTGTGCGAGGTGATCGCCAACGAAAAGGGGCCGATGGCGGTGCGGGTGAACGGGGTGGAAGAGAATGCTGGAAGGGGGAAGCTGCGGAGAAAGGGGCGTATTTTCATTGATCCGTCCGTGGCACAGAAGAGAACCATCCGGCCCAGCGAGTATCTACGAAAGCGAAGGGCTGACGGCGTGTCAGCTATCCGTGAAAGTCGCATTATGTACGAGTTATACTACTTAACTCCAGTCGATGCACATATCGCTTTAATTTTTTATATCTTCGTGTTATCATTATATAATAAATTAATGAAGAAATAAATAAACAAAATTAATTACTATATATGCATATGATTAATTGTTATAATAAAGCATTGTGTATTCTAGATTTTTGTTCTCTATTCTAATTTAGATCAACAGATTATATAATATGGAATTGATGGAAAAATGTTTGTAAATAGTTTAATAGTACGTATAATTTTTAGAGTTTCGATGTGAAATAATTGAGTCGGCATATCCTTTTATCTATTCTATTGTGTATATTATAGTTCAGTGTATTTAATATTGGAATTTCTGGTTGTATGATTTCTTCTTTTTATGATCCAATAAAGGAGAGCGTATTATCTATTATAGTGAGATACGAATCTCTTTACATTCACTGAAATTTCTTTCTTCTTTTTTTTTTTTTTTAATATAAAATTTGATTATTAAAATATATTATTAGTTATTTTATGTTTAACTTTATAATTCAATACGCATTGGCATTACGTATATGTCTTTCAATACAATATATTATTAGTCTCTATTATAAATGCAATTTTCTTTTCATGCTTTCTTTTAAATAATGGATATACAAGTATTTTAAATGGGCACATAAGTTGTGTATTTAGCATAATTAAGATATTGATTTAAAAATGACCCTAAAAGATTGATTTTCTAGACTTATTAAAATTAATGTCTCGTGAACTGAAGAATATTCGTTTATTTTCCAATAAGTATTGTGATGTTGAAAAAATCATAATTTTCATGCATACTATTATTTACGTATATTTATGTATACAATGGTATTTTTAATTCTGTATTTTTAACTAATTAAATAAATATTAATAAACCATTTATAGAATTGTTCATTAATGAAAAAAAAGCGGTTGCAGGTATTATCAGTGTTGATTAAAACATATCTAAATTATTTAAGAATTTTCAATTAAAATTTTCTACACAATATTCTTATTTAATTACTAATATATAAGGAATCTACTTACTTGTAATTACATCAGAATCTCAAATAGTTTTAACTCGAAATAAACAAAAAATAAATCAGTTAATAAACTTCTCATCTTTTTATATTATTTAAAAAAAAAAAATACAAACATTAAAATACTGTTTATTGAAGCAATTAATGTAAGTTATAAATATAATTATTTTTTTTTTTTGGATATACATTTATTTTCAAAATATTTACATAATAATACTATTTATCATTGTAAAAGAATTACTTAGATACGCATTTTTTATATTAATTAAGCAAATATTATTCGAAGCTTTTCACACTATATGGAAATATAATGTTGCAAACTGTAAATAAATTAAAAAAATACGCGTACAAAATACTATTTATAATATTTCAGATTTTATTTTAAAGCGTTTATTTAACTTTAATTAAATAAACTGTATATTCTACATAGAAATATGAATATTCCTCTTATAATTGAAAACAGCTATTTTATTATTTTTAAAATTATAATTGATAAAAAATTACTTTCTTTTAAAATTAGTTAATTAGACTATGATTAATTCAATAATGTTTTGGTGTAACCGTAGTAGGCAATAAAATAAAGATTATTTCATAACTATAATGAATAAAAATAAGAGGAATTATAAATGCTTTTAAGAAAAAATTGCTAATTAGTTTTTTAGAATATAAGTTTATTGAAAGTAAGAGAAAATAACTTGAAAATCTTTTGTATTCACGTGTCTTTTATTCAGTAAATACGTATTATTATATTTAATTATAAAGTCGCAGCATATAATTTTTAAATAATAATTACATAATATTATTAATTTATTGTTATATATATATATATATATATATATATATATATATATATATACTGTATATACTAAATTAATTCTTTTGTAATACGAAATATTAGAGTTTTGACAATATTGAATTTCAGTAACGTGAATAAATGCTGAAATATATTTAAAAAAGGATTACAAAATTTAATGAATAGAATCATAAAAATGATACATATCGTAATAAATATAATATTATATGTATATTAAAAAATTGTTCAAATTAATTGAATAGAAATTATTATATATAATACAATATTTGATCATTTTCATTGAAGTATGAACGTGACAAGAAATCATTAAACTATTAAATTTAACGATAACGTACATAAATTTTTTCATTTATGTA